AATTTGTGTAGAGAACAGTTTAAGGAGGCTATGAAATGAATAAATGTTGATTCGACAGAATGCTTTTGGCAGCCTATTCTAGAGAGTTGTTAAGCAAGAGATGAAGAAAGGTGACTTGTGTCTGCTTGATGTTCACAATATATTTAGAACAGTCTCCTCATTTTTGGGATGAAATCTAATGTTTTTTGCGAATCCTCAAATGTCGAAATGTGCTATGTTTTTATTACATATAATTTTTCAAATTAAGGTCGGGTTAAGTATTATATGCCTTAGCCATAAAAAACCCGGTTCCCATGTTTCACATTTGTTTGTATAATATAGGACGGAGGTGAAAGGTTTCGTAAATTAGACTTGCACATTCCTGACTTTCAGTCAGCCTAGAAGATATCAAACACAATACTTGTGGATAACAATTGAGGATTGCTTCAAATTATAAACTAAGATCAATGAATCAAATAAACTAATAGGCTCTCAAGAATTCGGTTAAACTTGTTCAGTGAATGAAAGAATATAGGAATATTTCACTGCAAATCGTAAATGACACTAAGTTCTTTCGGTATTAAGAGTGTATTGGAACGCTTCTACGAAGAAAATACGATTTATGAAAAATAAACATTATTGTACTCGTTTTATCTAACTGTACCAAAAACACTTCTTTCACTTCTCGCGCGCAACGTTCTCTTCACCTTGCTGCCATTTTTCTAAATGCTCTGCTCCCCATGTAATGCCAACGTTCTCCTTCAATAAAATGCTCAACCGTGGATTTACTTTATCTTTAAAGACGGGACCGTAAGGAACATTTGGTGGTGAGCATAGTCAATCTGATATCTTGACTCGCTCACTACGAATGGTGAGCCAACATTTCTTCAAAAGATGTCAATTACGGTGAGTCCATTATTCATCTATCACCATTCTTATAATGTTGCAATACTATTAGTAATGTCTTCAATATAATCATACTTGTAACAACGTTTCGAAATGGTAGATAGCTATAATAATAGACTCCGACGTGCAGGTCATTGCAATCTCACCTGTCTCCTCCCCTTCACTTCAGGTTGTTAGTTTATTTTACGCGCTTGGTTTTTTCACTAAAGCTAGGTGTTAAATTATAATTTACTCTTGCAGTCCGCTCCAATTCGAATAGTGTAGGTTTATACGCGTCCCGCCCAGTCCAAGTCCAAAAACGATAATTCTGGGAGAGAACGGTTCTGTATTTAATAAAAAGGGGAAATTCAGACAATTACCAAAACAATATTACACCTTCGAGTTTCCAATTACCACAATAGGTTCCGTTGCTGGAAGAATAAGTGCTTCCAGTCAGTTACTGCTAGAGTATCAAATCCAAATATGGCTGTGGCCATATTAAGTACCAAATTTAAACAACATATGTATAGTTTAGAAGGAAACAAAAACTTCAATATAAGTACAAGATATAGAAATAATAGCAATATACAAATGATAAAATCTCAAAATGGAATCAAATAGAGTACCAAAATATCAGCAGAAAGAGTCAGTCATATCATAACACAAATATTCGCATCTACGCAGATAGTCGTTGGACGTTATTTGATATACACAAGACCGCGTCTCCGAAACGCGCATACAATATCCGAGAACAATCATCATTTTCATTTCACCTAGTGCAGATAGAGGCACAACACTTTTTACGTTTCTTGTTTCTGATAGCTTTGATGCTGCCTCCGGTTTCCTCACCGGAGTAGATATATTATTGAGTCCTAGGTCAGAACTAGCCATCCTAGACTGGATTCCGATTGACTTGACAGTCGCTTAAGTGCTGTCTGACTAAACGGGACGTTACGGAGTCGGTAAGATAAAGAAACTCGCCATTGCCTCTTAGTTGTCTCCACCTACGCTATGACTGTCTACAGTCCAGACGAAATGAAATATGGTGATGGTGTTTCGTTCTCTGAGCTGGATGTTTTGGTTGTGGAGCTTTGTTCTTCTTAACAACATCATCATCACAAACTTCAGGTAGAAGTGAAGCATTCGAATTTCTCCACGTTTGACCTGTAGCTTGTTCTGCTAACCTCGATCTTGATTGGTTGTTTTTGACCTTAAACCTGTCGTTGTTTTCACATTTGTTTTGATTGTATCACCTTTTTGATCTGTTTATTGATCCTATGTCCCCTATGATTTTTCTGAGTGGTTGATAAATTGGGTCAATGTTCATTGATTGCTGACTGACCTGAGTGCCAAGCTTCTAAAAATTCTCTAGTGTTCTTTGTCCTCCCTATATCCAGTATTTCCACATTGTCCCAATCGAATGTATGTCCATAATTGTCGGTATGTATTGATATAAGCGAAGAGTTGTCGTGACCTTTGACTGCTAATTGGTGTTCACGTAAACGAAGCTGGAGAGGCCGACCACTTTGTCCTATGTAGTGTTTTTCAGTCTGAGCAATTTATTTTGTAGATGGTACTTGGCTTTTCTTCCTTTGTCACTTTGTCCTTTAGTCTACATAGGATAGATTGAAGTGATTCTGTTGGTTTGTGTGCCACACCTATTCCAAACGGTTTCAGTAGTCATGCTGTGTTCCGATATGTCTTTTATGTATTGTAGGATGATCCGGATCATCCTGCTGAAATAGGTAGACTAGGTGCAAAGAATAGACACCTTTGTGGATCTTATGGTGTCGCATCTAACAGAACAGAAAATGACGACCCTTTCTAGTAAATATGCTCAGACAACGGCCTATTTCTAGCAGACACTGACTTCGGGTATGAGGAAAAACATCTCCTGACCTGGCGACCGAAAAAGCTGACCCAACGATGGACGCAAGTAGATCACATTGACATCAACCACCGATGGAGAGGTTCGACAGATGACTGTCGCTCGTTCTGGGGCACATGCTTAGACTGAGATCGTGCCTTAGTGCGAGCGCGTATTTGTTTGCGACTTACTAGATGTAGGAAAGACACCTTAACAGAACCTCTTAGGGTTCTACCTAATGATAGCAGAGCTATGCATATATTTCAGGAACAACTAGAAAAACAGTCAGGGGACCATTTGAGTGATTCCCATCCGGAGGCAGGTTGGAATGGTATCAAAACGGCTGTTGAAACAGCAATGATATCTGCTAGTAAGGTAAACCATAAGGTTAGGGAGAAGCCGTGGATCTCAGTAGCATCAACCGAACTGAAAGACGCTCATAAATTCATCCCACCTGTCTCTGAACACGGTGAAGATGGAAGTCAGCTTAGGCGCAGGCCGATAAAAAGCCTACTCAATGATCGTGAACAATGGTAGGTAGCGATGGAAAAGGTAATGGTGATAGGAAACAGTAGACAATTGTTCAAGCTTATCAAGGGAAACGGTCTTAGGAACCCCAATGTGAGTGAGACTACTTTGGAGAAGGATGGTCTTAATATTCATTCTCAATAGAGGAGATTGGATCTGTGTACAGAACACTTCAGGAATCAGTTCAATTTGTCTTCAGCGACTCTTCGGTTGCCCAAGATATCAAATCATCCTGAATGGCAGATCGACGCAAGTCCTTCGAGAAAGTTATACGAAATTTAAGGCGAGGGATCGCAGTGGGTCTTGATATATTGACCTCTAAAGTTCTTAAGGATGTCGGACCAGATCTAGTAGTTGTACTGGAATCAAAATAACTAATACAGTTTCTAAATTGTTAGCCTCGATTATCCTTAGACACCTAACTAGAGCTAGTGTAAAGCAGACTAGAGAAAACTAGGCTGGTTTCAGAGTTGGATGTGGCTGTATAGACCACACTTTTACACTACGCCTGAACCTGGAACACAGAAACACATAGGTGTCCGATAATATTCGTCTCCCTGGACCTTCAAGCAGCATTTGACTCTGTTGTTTGCGAAGTTCTGTGACGGAGCCTGTCATTAAAAGGTGTAGCAAAGAAGTACATTGACTTTATACAAGCTCCTTACTCAAACACCATTAGTCAAGGGAGAGCTTATGGCGAACTGTCATCAGAAGAGATTATTTTAAGTGGTATCCAGCAGGGATGTTTACAACGTCTTCACACCTCGGCTTCTTAACAGAGACAAAAATCTATTGGATCGAGTGCAGGGAGGAGCAACGCAAAGGGTGATAGGGTTAAAAAATAGAACTTACGAAGTTAGACTCCAGCATCTGGGATTACTCCCCTTAGATTACAGCTTAGAATGATTTCCCAACCTGGGTGACCTTAGCCCCCTCAGTGGACAGCTTTAAGAAGAGACTCAAAAAACTCATAGTCATATGTTGTGAGTCAGCTGTGACTGATGCATGCCTTGAGACTTGCTAATTGTTATTACTGCCATCTCCTTAGATCACTAACTTAATCCATCTCACTGGTTATCTCTGTTTACTCTTCATAGCTTACACTTTGGTCCTCTCACACAATCTTCACTACCAATTTATGAACTAAATTATCAATTTATTTACGTAGTTCTGAAATTGTGGTGGTGTTTCGTTATCCGAGCTGGACGTTTTTGGTTCCGAAATCTTATACTTATGAGCATTAGAATTTTCTACTTATTATTATCCACATTGCGAATAACTGATCTCCGGCCTGGTAATGTGATAGCTTATGGTAGCCAGAAAGCCTAGTGCCCTGAAACATATGTATTCATTCAAATCACGGGACATACATACAAACAACTTCCAACTGATTAGAATAAGACAGTCGAGTAACTAGACCCCCAATCATTGGACACTACCAAACATCTGAAACCGTACCGAAAGAACAAGAATCAAGCGCAAATAAACCAATTAGTTTATACTAGCTCATGGAAAAGTTATTGGATATTGGATATTGGAAGCGGCATATTTGGCTTACGCGATACTTTGAACAGTATGTCAATCGTTTTGAGGTTGGTTTGCGTTTCATTATTTACCAAGTCGAAAATAGGTGTTCGCAATCACGTTATTCGGAAAACAATTTTCAATTAGTACGCTCCTGTAAGAACAGACTTATTTTTCGAACTTAATGTATGGTATGATTTTGTTGGGTGAACTGAAATATTTTGGATAACTGACGTAAATGTAAGCATATGATTAAACTCTATTCCATCATATGTCCATTAGAGTTGTACCGTTGATTCTCCATAGTTTTCAAACTCTTACCTAGCACTATAAATGGTAAAATCCCTATCTACCGACTTTGGGGAAATTTTTGGAAAAGCCTTGATGGTGTCCTAAATTGGCCTACATCCTCTATATTTATGAAGGCTTTTGGGCTTCTTTATTGGATTTTGTTGGTTTTCTCCTAAGTTATTCGCAGGTTTTTGAAAATTCTAGGTCTCTCCAATATCACTGGAGATTTGTGGGTTTTTGGCTGCATTTAATTATAGTTTGCAGTAAATAACTCCCAAAAGTTGATCAAATCTTCCCTGAACTTTGGAGATAGGTACTTAGAGAACCTAATCATTACTCTATGGACGAGTGGGCTAATTTACAAACCCGTTCTGATTCTGTCTTGATGAATAACTTTTCAGGTTCAGAACTAAAGGTAAGGAAGGGAGTTTTCTAATCCAAAATTAATTCCAATTTTGTAAGAAAAACAGTCCTCTGCAATAACCATCATACTAAACTTGGGGGTCACTAATTATAATCTATTTGCTCTTGCTTAGTAAACTAGGCTCTCGGGAGGACTGAGAAAACAGAAAATTCATTCCTAAAATTGTGTTAAAATGAATAGTTATTGTACGGTAGTCAGACAAAGTCATTCGGTTGCTCGGCCATATAACTATTTAGTCACAATGCTTTTGTCACTTTCAAATCCTGCTTCCTACACTGAAAATTCCTAAATTATACTAAAAGTTATTCACGAGACCGTAACCATTAACTCGCTCAAATGAAATACTTCCGTTTCTTTATTCATTATTCAGTCTACTGCATAATAAACCTTGACGTTTAGTCTTCTTTCCCATTAAAATGTGAAGGCATTTTGAAATCAGTTGCGTTACTGACTCTAGCTCTTGCTCAAAACCGCATTTGTTTATATTTTGGCATCACTAGTCCTTATATGGTTGTCTCATGATTTTGAAGTTGCATTCATCTTTATTACCGTTAAAATGTTATGGAAACATGAGTTCTTTGGGCTTACATTCGCGAAATATTTATGTACTCACTCCTCATTTTCTAATAACTAAGAACAGCATCCTTCATATATATATATATATATATATATATATATATATATATATATATACAACTTCGAGTCAAAATAAACACGCGCCACATAATGGAAAAAACGGAAATGTGAAGAAATAAGGTGAGCATAAATATCAGCAAAGTTTATACAGGAATATGTGGACGACAGTAAAAGATAATGGGGGGGGGGGGTTCAGATGAGTTAAGAAAACTACAACTAGGAAGAATTTTCACTTTTAAAGCAAAGTGGACAAGTATATCAGGATCTTTGTTGCCTCTTATTCTGAGCCATGTCTGAAAGTATCTCAAGCCACCGGCCTGAATCATCTCCAGGATTCAGACAAAGAATTTATGAAGGACTGACGGATATCACTCTTGTCATAAACCGACCAGTCTCAGCGTCGGTAAATGATACGCCACACAAAGTTAGCTGGAACGACATTCCTATCCAAGCCAACGAAGTTGGTGTTTCATCATAGCGGTACCAATTGAATCGTTACTTTACTGGAATGAACATTGCAGAACCTGGTGCATTACTGACATAGTGTTCCTATTGAATTTCAGCATTCCTTCACTATTCGTAGACTGATCTCACCAATCTCCCCACAGCCAGTACATATAGCTACTACTATTCGACTTCTAATAGTTCACTACCATAGGTGGATGAAAGCAAGAACTCGTGCCACTCTTGTAAAAGTAATATGTATTTAGGTGGGAAAAAGCACATGCCGTACCACCTACGGATACTAACTACCAGGTGCAGACTACATGGCTTGATTACTATTGCGCAATAACACAGTGTCATCCGCTTACTCAAGATCGAAGTCTTGCTTCATGTAGCTTATCTACATTAACATTTCGTAGTCCCATCAAAACCGTTTTCAGAATATCATAAATTCAAAGCTAATGGGTGATGAAATCCGGGAAACCGACCCAACCTCATTGCTTAAGTAGAACATTAGAAAAAAGCATATCTTCACTCTTCCCGAGTTGTTTGTATGTAAATCCTTCTAGGTGTCAATAAACTCCTTATACACATCTTTCTTCATCACACAATCGTGCAGAACAGCCCTGTCCAACAAATTGGAGGCGTTCATGCTATCAGGAAACAACGATTGTTGGCCTGCAATAAGTATGGTGGTGTCCCAACATTTATCATAGAGTGATGTATTCAATGCGTTATTGACCAGAACGAAAACCAGCCTGATCCTTGAGCGTCAATCTTCCCTGGGTTTTGAACAATGTGAGAAGTACGACGGAAGCTAATAATTTGTACGTAGCCGGAAGGAGACTCACCTCTAATAGTTGTTGCGTAGGTGACGTGAGCAAGTAGAAACTCATTTCACGATGTTGAAACACTAATTATCAGACGTTTGTAAACAACTCGATTTGTTAACTGTGATATTTGTCACATTTGTCAAATTCTTCGAAGGCTCATGTAATTCATGTCACATAAAGTCCCTTGTGCAATGTGCTTAAACCGTGGTAAAATGAAAATTAAGATTTAGTGAATCAGGTATTAATAAATGAATGTAGAAGAATTATCACTATGGGATTTGATTTGACATTTGCGTCTCTGTGCTAATGTGGTATGGCAACATGAACTTATGTACATACGTACGAAGTTCTACGTCGCAACTGACTGACTGAATGAATGTAGAAGAACCTGGTTATTCCACGCGTGATTCGACAAATACATGCCTGGTTATCACTGTTAACCAAAGGTTGAGTGTACTGCGCCCTAGTTCACTCCGTTCTACTGTATGGATGCGAAACGGTCAGTCAGAGTAGAAGATATTCGTAATTTACTGGTATTTGATCATAGATGTCTTCGAAGCATTGCTGCCTCGACGAGCGGTGTTTTGTGGTGTATGAGTAATTTGGAAGAAAGCTAGGGGCGGCCAAACCAAAACATGGCAGAAATCCATGAGGTCACTGACAACTGGACTGAGTCATGTTGGTAGATGCAGACTACCTGGTCGGGGTCCGCGAGACGATAGTAACCGATGGTTAGGGACCTTGAACGACATGGCTCAAAATCTTTTGCGATGGCGCTGGTGCATCCGCTCGTTGTGTCCTCTCAAATTCTAACCTTCTGAATTCGTCATCACCTCTACCTTTCTCCTTCTAAACTTATCTCACTGAATTATACTTCTTGAATAATATCTTCGAATCCTAATCTTCTCCATTACCAGTAATACTTCTGCTATCTCTTCCACTATTGGATTTGAATTGACAATTGCGTCTTTGTGCAAATGTGGTATGGCAACCTGAACTAATGTACTTACGGATGAAGTTCCACGTTGTAACTGACTGGTTATCACTGAGATCACATTTAATCAGACATAACAGACCAGTAATATTCCCTAACTTCATTTATGTACCGAAACAGTTGACACTGGTTATCCAAGTGGCAAGAAATCCATGACTTAACAGTGTATCAAAGAAGCATGATACACGTGTTCTGGACACTAATAGTCTGGCTAATTTACCTGCTCAATGGCAACTGTATGTTTTATTGCATCAACTGCCATCATATTTTATATTGTTTATAGAAGTTGCGAAAAGAAACTACGTAGTATGTTGTAGGTTACTGGTTGTGATCTTTTATCAACATGTCTTGAGTAGAATGTTGATTTATTGTTTTTACGATAACTTTTCACAAGACTCAATCTAATAACTCATTACATTCGTTGATAGTGTGTCAGTTCACCTGCAGACCAAACCATTGAACGCACAATCACAACAAAATTTTTTTTTATTCAACCAAACAATAAATGTGCTTGCATAAAACGTTCGAGACAAAGTAAACATAACTATAAATTAATCGGGTAACCTGCAATATTTGAAGTGGTTTACTTCCACTGTCTCGAGTCATCGTGTGCATTTATTTCAGGTTGTTATAAAAGATCCCGAACCCCTTTTCTATGATATTGCACTATGTAACATTTACTTGTTGAGTTACTGTTTGTTGCTGATGACTCCTATTAGAGACCAATATATTTTGGTTTTTTTCGTCTTGTCTACCAGTTATAATTTGTAATCATATTCACATCTATTCTCACTGTAATTTATCGAGGGGATGACTTAAAACAAACCAACGAGAAATACTTTCTACGCACCTTCCTCCATATTTCAGACAACTAATTTTCATAATGAAGAGCCTCAGTGCATTTAAGCGCGGATCTTGTTATCTGCATCCAAAGTGAAGTTCATGGAGGAGGAGTTTTCTGCAGTTATCAAGGAATATCAGTCTGTTTTAGAGTCAGTGGATAAAAAGGTCGCATCAATCGTTGCCGATGACCGATTCCTTAATGACCTTATTCAGAAACCAGAACAAGAAGGTGAATCTGTACATCTACCATCCAATAAAGAAGTGATGAACACTATAGAGGTTCACTTTGGGCGAGTAAGTCCCCCTATTTCCGTAATATACCTGTTTTGTCGCAAAATAATCGTTTTCAATATAAATGTGTTTCAGTTTCCTTATTGTTGTAAGTTTTGAACTACATATTCTACTTAAGCGTATTCATAAAATTTACGACGACAACTAAGTGATTTCTGGGTCACTGAGGATCTATCAGAGTAACTTTTAGTGGTTAAACCACATAATGAATAGTTCACTATACAGGTCTGTTTGTGGGGTATTATGGGTGAGTTCCACATTTGCGTTTGGAGCTTATCAGTAAAAAAATATGATACTAGGTTTCATCGAAATCGTGTAATTGGAACCAAATCTCTATTCCTGGTTAACTGTTAACATTAGCAAGACCTGAGTTGTAATTCTATTATTAGGTACTATATAATCTATCGACCTTTTAACCAAATGTTTCGCCTCATCTACGATCCGATTATTATAGTTAGTCTACCCTTTTTATTCCAATCACCTAGTAAATTGACATTATTACCACTTGTAAAGTTGCAATGTTATGCAATACTACCGCTTGTTTGGTTATCATATCCAATACACATACATATTATACAGTGCACAATGCATGATGATGCAGAGCCATAATGAAGTATTTCTATTTGCTCTTTACTCATTCATTTAAATAAGCAAGATAATTCTTTTACATTTGGTTTGATATATTTTGCTGAGTTTCATAGATGTTACAGGGGAAAAATCACCCCAAAACTATTTCAGTAGTCTAACAAAACTTATTTCTTCATTGGCAAATTATATTTAATAAGTAAGCTTGCGTGCCGTCCTTGAGTATGAGTGGATTTAAATTATGCAGATAACGGTTCCAGTTCTAATTACACCGGTAGCAAATATATGAGTGTTTGGATGGGGTTGCTAGACTTTCTCGAAGGTTGAAAACAAATGCTTAATTTCCCACATATGATCAGTTGCGTGAAACCTTGAATTTTTTTATACTAAGTGTGCATAGAATATATGTTAAAAGAAGTGTTTACTGAGTCACAGTAACTACTCTCCTAAACATTTAAATTTGTCACTTCACATCTGTCGGTTACACGTTTCAATAAAAAGAAACTACAAAGTTTTCGTAAAACCATGAAAATCTATACCAGTATATTCACGTTTGTTTTAGTGTATTCATTTATCTTATTTGTTTTCGCAGGCTATGCGTCTAACGTTATTGAGAGGAGATGGTGTAAGATTACCTCTAGTAGTTCCTGTTGATTCCCGTGTTTTGGAATTGCGATGGGCAGTACAAGATGCAGTTACATCGTATATGTACCATCTCCGTAGTATATCACAGTTGCCAAAAGATAAACTTAAAGGAGATGCCGCTGACTATATTCCACTCAACAGTATTCCTCCAAAATTGATTAGCTGGCGTTCCTTATGGAGAACAAAATGCTTAGCTCTGGTGAACCCGCACAGTTTGTGTCCACCAGAAGGCTTCCCATCCATTAGTGCTAGACTAGAAGTCTTAACTGATAAGTTATCGGATTATCAAATTCGTAATGGTGCAGTGATCACTTTTGCTCCTCGACTTAAGCGAAAGTGAACATCGTGTTATTTTTAAATCACTGAAATATATTTAACTTTTATATGCTTTGAATATTTGTACTTACGAAAGTGTAAATAACATGATCCTCATGAGCTACTTTCGAAGTTCTTTTCTCCATCAACCCTTCTTTATTTTTGCCAAATTACCAATCCGTTCGTTAGACGTCAGCCAATTAACTTAACCATCAAGGTATCAACTGAAGGAATTTGTGATTTTAATTGATCAAATATTTGAGACGGAAGATAGTCTGACGACCATACTTCAACTAAAAGTGGTATCGTTTCGCGGTTCTTCGGTCTACTTGAGTATTAAAGGCCAGCATCGGAATTTAGATGACCTAGTTAACAACTCCAAACTTCCACCCAACATAGTAGATCCGTCTTGACATTTATATTGAA